CCCCTCTGTGACTGGCTCCTGGACTTTCTGACTGGCAGGCCCTCTCTGCAGAGCATTTACCATCGCAGGGTGCGTAGGAAGGCCGCCTCCATCCTCAAAGATCCCACCCACCCCTAGCACGGACTGTTCACCTCCCTACCCTCTGGCCGGAGGTTCAGAAGTGTGAAATGCAGGACCTCTAGACTGAAAATCTCTTTCTTTCCCTCTGCCATCAGACTTTGCTGTAGCTCATCTCCTCCTCTTCATCAATTCATCTAAAGCCAGAGCTTCTTCCTGACATGTAGATGGATACATCGTGCATCCAAGTCCACTGCTCGAAAAACTAGTTCATACCTGCTAACCACCTCCTGGAAAGCTTTTTGGTTACCTAGCAACTTACATCCAACATGTGCGCGATTTGCAGTGTGTCCCCTCCCCTGTGCTGCACCCAACCCCCACAGAGCTGCAATCAGCAGCTGCCTCCTCCCATGATCTCCCTTCCCCTCAGCACCCCACCCCTGGGGGTCTGTGAACATGATCTGCATGGCCTTTTAAAAAAAAAAGATCAGAAAGGCACCAGGACCAGATGATGTGACCCCTCCTGCCTGAAAGTCTGTGCTAACCAGATGACCCCCATCTTTACATTTATCCTCAACAGATCACTGGAGCTGTGTGAAGTCCCCTCCCACTGCAAACGGTCCACCATCATTCCAGTTCCCAAGAAATGCTCCATCAGCAAAATTAATGACTACAGTTGTGTTCAGACAGGATCACAGCGCCGCTGAAAGCAGCAAGACCTGTGGAGGAATGGTGCCTTCATCAAACAGTCCTGGTGCACAGACTGTAAGATTCTCTCTAAATTCTGTTCTGAAGATGTGGAATATTTAATACTAAAGCTGAGCCCATTTTATTTACCTAGAGAGCGGCAATGTGTCATTGTGGGTATAGGGTATAGTGTATAGTGTACCCCCCTCCCCCCAAGGCAAAGAGGAGGCTGCACTAAAGGAACTGTGCAAAACCAGTCTCAGTGAGAACTGTTAACACCTGGAACCACTGTGCACAGGCCAGCCTGCAGGGCTGTCTAGACGCCACAGACTGGAACATCTTCAAAGGGGCCACAGACAACATCCATGAATATGCAGAGACTGTGAGTGACTACATCATGGGTTAGGGTTAGGCCAGTGGCGCTCACATCAGTTGCCATGAGGTGCTTAGAGAAACTGGTCCTCACACACATTAACCACATGGTCCCGGACATGGTCCTGGATTACAGTTCTGCATCCAACACCATTTTCCCGGGTAGGCCGGGATGTTCTCTTTGATGTTTGAATGTTAAACTGACCTGCTGGTTTGATCTTATAAACTGTCTGAATCTGGATCTTCTCAGCTGTGGAGTTTTTCTGGTTCTTTGACTTCAGTTCAGACTCCAGGTGTTTGACTTTCCCCTTCAGGAATTCGGTTTCCTTCTCTATACTTGTGTACAGCTCTCTGAAAACACTGCAAATTTTACGAACAGCCTCTCTTGACATCACATGAAGGACAGTGGTGAGCTGAATCTGCAGGAGAGAGAACACATGAAGCTTAGAGATGAATGAGGCGAATAACATTTGTTTTATATGTTTTTATCTCCAGTTAGTGTGTTATAATGAGTGGCACCTGCTGATGTGGTGCTTCTGCCCACTGACTAGGAGAGGAGTGGATAATAAAGGGATAAAGTCCAGGTAAAGGAAAATCAGTGATTTGTTTCTAAACACAAACACATCATCAGTTTTAGAAAATAGTTGCTGAAAATGTGAAAGACTGAGAACTATATAGTGCTGAAATGCAGCGTTAGTTGCATAGTTATTCATCACTTTTGAGTTTAGGATTTTTGGGCGGTGCAGAAAGTATGGCTGGGTAAAGCAAAATAAGTACTTTGTTTCTAAACACATAACACATCTTCCTGTGGTGTAACAAACTCAGAACACGTTTATTTCCACTTTACCTCAACTTTAACATAACCCTCCCCCCACCACTGTAATGTTATAAATCCTCTATGCCCGCTTTTGTTTTCAGAGGCACTGGTGAGACTGAGCTGTAGTGTCCACAAGTCCAAAGTGGACACTTTGAAGAGATGTTTTATCCTGAGGAACTCACAACATTTATAATTACTATACTGATTTCCAGAATTTTCATAAGCAGGAGAGAGACCTTGCCCTGCCTTTAGAACTAAGCTGATTGCCTGCTTTGTTTCAGCTAAAGACAGCCATGCAAACTACCCCCAGTGCATAGACCGGGGTGTGCTTTGTGTTACACATTTCATCTCTCCTTTTGGTCTGAATGACTCAAACCACGAAAACGTCTGGATACACACGATGTTGTACTTTAAGATGTAGACAGGTGGTTTTGGTACAAACACCTGAACAGCGTACTTATTCTCTACATAACCTTTAAGTTCAGTTTAATAAAGTACGACGTAATTTTCACCAGCCTAAAAGAAAACGTACGTCGTGCGTCTGTTATTGGCCGTTATCGTGCGTCTCCAGCGAAGAAGGAAGTGACGCCGGATTTCGCTCTGAAGATCTTTAAGCTCCCAGATTAAACTTTCACCCTCCGTCTCCCTACACAGTGAATATTCAAGTGTTTGTCCTCACCCATGTGTCCCCGCTGTCCGCCTCTTGCTGCCCGAGCCGCTGCTGAAGGACGGAGACCACCGACTCCACCGCCACCTCCATGATCAGCTCCGTCTGACAGGAGAAAGTTTTCATGGCCGCCATGTTGAGCGGCTCCGTTAGCCCGCGCTCTAACGGCTGCTCCCCTCGACAACACGAACCCGTTTACCCGTTTATTCGAGGTTGTTAGTCTGGACGTGTGTCGGCCGCAGTGAGAGAAAGTCTGAAAACCAAACAGCGGGACGTTTTCTGCTGTCTTTACGGCCAATATGGTGCCGTTTACATCCGGTTCATTGCCCATTAATGACTGTTCACCTTTCACAGTAAATGCGAAACTGGGTTCACACTCCTCCAAACGACCCAACCGACACTATACTATATCACCAGAGTCCTTTATTGCTGCTGAGGAATCGTTTCACTTCCGTTTCTGTCAATACAAAGCATAGACAGCAACGTTATATTAAATATGTTTGTCTGTTTTTACATTTTAGTACATTCAGTTATTTGCACAGCACAATTAGGGGAACAGTATCAACAAAGCAATACAATGGAAATACTAATAAAAGCATGAATGAAGAATTAAATATAAAAATAAAAACACAAGATGAATGATGCATAAACACAAGTCACAGCAAGAGAACACAGGATATAAACTTAATAAAATAAACTTTAAAATGATGCATGAGGTGATACAATTTCTTGGTTTTTTGTTTAACTTGTAGCATTTGGATAAAGAATCCAATTTTAAAATAACTCATGAAGTGTGTGAAGTTAGTCTCTTTCCATTTGCATACATGTATAAAGTGTTTGCCCAGCTATACCAATAAATCAATTCACTGGATTGTAGTTTATTATTATAGAAATAATATAAGTACAATCAAAAACAGGAATGTCTATGATTTTAAAAGGCAATCAAGCATGTACATCAACCCAGACCGGACCAACTAAAGGGCAAGAATAAAGGAAATGTTCAACAGTTTCATCAGTTCATTACATTTTTATCAGACAGATCTCAGCAGTAATGACTCCATTGCATGCTTCATTACAAATAAAAGCACAAATATTTTCTTTGTACTAATTTCATATAGGTTTTATGTTACTTGCAAATCATTGCATTCATTTTTTTAAACAGTGTCCATGCTTTTTTGGAGATGGAGTTGAATAACTATTAAATTCAAATAAGTATTTGAATAACGAATGAATGGATAAATAAATAAATAAAGCAAACCATAAATACAGGTCAGCATTGTATCATCCTCCCTGTCATATAGAAGAATTTTCATACAATATATTTATATGGCACCTTTGTATGCACTCAAAGCACTTTACACTATTTCCCATTCATGCACACAGAGACATTTATCCATTCACACAGTGATACCACCAGGAGCAACTAGGGGTTCATTTAGCATGTAGACTGGAGAAGGCGGGATCAAACTGGCTGGGTGGTGCCTCGCTCTACCCCCTGATCCACAGCCACCCACAAAGGTCATTAAAACAACCACAAGTTAGTTTGATGACATTTGTTTAAATCGGGAACAGCTGTAACAGGAGTGAGCCCTTCTGTAACTTCTTCTGGACTGCAGCTATTTGGCACCACCCTGCAGCCTCCACCTTGTTTTCTCCTAGTACCTAAAAATCTGGACTGTTGTTTTCAAATTGTATTGTGTTTAATAATTTAACATGTATAAGTGTAGATAATTACATTGATGACAGTGATATCTAACAACGTGTTTTCATTTAAAACAAAAATTACATATATTAAGATTCTTTCATTATAAATGCAGGAAAGCCATTTGAGTTCATGGACAGTGGAACCTGCAGGATTACAGTTCATAATATGTACAAGAGCTGCCTATTGCAGCATAAACCAGATACTTTACTTGTTTTTATGAGATACTTTCACGTTAAAGCCAATTTTCATGTTATTATGACGTGTTTTCCCGTTTTAACAACATACTGTAGGCTGTTTTGTCATGGTGAGTGCAGTGCGCCCTCGTATGTGAGCAGCAGCTTCATAGCTCATTCAGTTCATCGGCCTTTCTCTCACCCCTTCCAATGTCAAAGGTCAAAGTGTTTATTTGTCATATGCACAGTTAGGAAACGTGTTTCCCTTACTTTGCCGTCCACATGAATGCCACAAAATACAAATGAAATGTAAAGTAGATGAGTAATAACACAAATGTAAGGCACTTTAAAGCAGAAAGTGAAGGAAGCAAATACAAATGCAACAAGAACACCATATAATGCAGAGAGAAATATATGCTACACGGGAGCTGTGGAGTGTAAATATTCAGCAGTGAGCCGGGGGCATTCGTATTGTGCCGCTAGAGGTGAAATTCTTGGACCGGCGCAAGACGAATGAAAGCGAAAGCATTTGCCAAGAATGTTTTCATTAATCAATCAGTAAAGTCGGAGGTTCGAAGACGATCAGATACCGTCGTAGTTCCGACCATAAACGATGCCAACTAGCGATCCGGCGGCGTT